GTTTTGGTAGAAAATACATATAAGCTAATTCAATTTTATTTTGAACAGGAATTAATTTTTGTTTTTGCCATTCTCTTATTTGATTCTGAGAACGTAATTGATTTAATAGACCAATTACACGACGATAGATATCATTCAATGGATTTGTCGATAGTTCTTCATAGGCATCCGTTGTTTTTCGATAACTATGAGCTTTTTGTTCATAATCACGCATATGACCAATATGAAATACACCACTCTTATCCGTTCGACGAAGAATCAATTTATATCGTTTTAATTTTCGTCGAATTGATTTAATCCATTTAAGTTCTTTTCCAGCACGTAGTTGGTCAATAAATGGTAATGATTTCATATATTGACAAGTAAGACATGTTCGAAGACGATCTTCATATAATTTATATACTGATGCAGTCTTTGATATCGAAGGATATCCATCTCTTGTTGTATTACCTAATCCATTTTTAATTTTACTTAACATATCATTTAATTCAACTTGAATTTGTTTATGTCGTTGTTTCATTGGGCAAAGTGTACTTTGATTTGGTCTTATATAAGTTGGACCTACAATAAATAATTTTGATATAGATGAAACAAAACAAAAAAAAAGAACAAATCTCTATAATTTTATTCAACCTCTTGAAAGATATTTTAATTCAGTAGTTGTAAATGGATGTCGTTGAAGATCAAGAATCACATAAGGAGAAACTTGAATTTGTTTCAAAAATTTTCCTTTTCGTTTCAAATGTTGTCGTTGACGTCGAAGTTTTCTTCGAAAGATAGGTATTCTTTCATAATAAAGGACTTGTTTTAATCGATCGATTCGATAATTTATATAAATAAGAAAACATTCTAATAGACTGGTTTCATTACTACATGTATTATTTTTGCATTGAAATTCTTTTAAAAATACATGCTTATGATTTTCATAGTGTTGATATTGAATTTCATAAGCATGTAAAAACATATTTAAACAATTACGTTTTGCTTCTTGTATAAGTTTATATTGTTGTTGTTGAAATTGAATAGAAAGAAAATTTCGAAAACGTGGTCGATATCGAATCGATGTAATGATATTTTCAATACGATTCAATTCTTTAGGTAAACATTGCATTGATATCCGTGTTTCTAATCGAAGATAATTTTCAAAGATTTCTAATTGTCGTTCTCGTATATATATCAATTGATCAATCATAGATTTCTATTAAAGAGAAAAAAAAATAACAATTCATCTAATATTAAACAAAATAAAGATAGAATTTACTTGTTCATCAGTATGAATATGATGTAATACAGTTTGATATAATTCATTTTCATGAATGTAATTTTTATGTCTAGTCAATTGAATATTTAATTTTTCAGTAAAACGTGTTCTTTGTAATTGAACAAATTCTTTGAGTTTTTGATTAAGAATATCGAATGGTTTAAGTTTAATTGGACATGATTTAGCTTGTTCATTCAATTCATTTGTAGCTTGATGATATTGTTGTTCAAGTTCATTTAAATGATGTTCAATATATTGTACACAAGATTCGATATTCTTTGATTTCATTTTCTTCTGTATATGTATCTAAAAAGAAAGAAACGTTGATGTACATGAAAACTATTATCAAATTGTAAAGTCAATATGAATGCTAAGAACATAAGTCAACTTACTGGCCATAAATTAGATGTAGAACCAAGATTTAAATAAGATTGCCATAAATATCGATATTGATCAATACGATGTAGTTGATCAAGTAATTGTAGTCGATGATAAAGATAGCGTTGTTGTTTCTTATTCGTAATTTTTTGTTGTAATTGTAAACTAAGATTTTGTATAAGTATATTTGGTGCCTTTTTCAAATATATTGGAAGTCGATTATTGAATTTCTTCAATACCATTTTCATTTTCATACGTTTTTCTATTATTCTCTTCGATTTTGTTATTGTTGTCGTTGTGATCGGTTGATGTAGTTCGATATCATCATTTGTCTCATCCATTCGAAAATCAATTTGTTGTTCTTGTTGTTGGCAACGATCTTGAATTAAACGTTGAATTTCTTCTTTATTCATGCCTCGTTGACGACATTTATTTTTAAAACGTCGTAATTTACGATTACCATGACATCGTCGACGATATAATTTAGTTCTTCTGATTGTACTTTCTTGTTGTTGTCGTTGTTGTTGATTGTTCATATTTGTTGGTGTTAACGGTCGTGGGTCCCATAATGGTTTTGGTAGGTTGTTCATCAATAAAGATTAACGTCAATCTAGAAACTAAAAAAAATAGAAGAAAAAGAGAATTTATCTAAAACGAAAACAAATACATTATCTATGAATAAATTGAATGAATAACACTACAAAAAAAGAAATATTCGAATAAATATGAAAAAAAACATGACTTCTATTGAATTTAATAATTATCTTTTAGTATTTTTGTAATTTCAAACGAAAACATTCAATCTTATAATTATAAACCGATTGAATACGTTTACCTATCATTCGACAACGTTCTTGAATTAAATCGATCATTTTTAATGGTAATATTGTGAAATCAAGTGCATTATGATGAATGGAATACATTTTATTAACTTCATTGTCATAGTTTAAACTAGCTCTAGTTCGTTGTTCTTCAGCTGTTTGCAAACTTAACATATAAAAATCAGTTTTTGCTTGTTGAATTATTTTTCGATCTTGTTGTTGTAATTGTTGTCGTATTTCAACATTTTCAATAGAATCGATTATAGCTGAATGTTCAAATGATTGATCCGGTGCATTAAAATGATTGATACGTTCTTGCAGGAATTTTAACTCTTGTTCTGCTGTTTCTTTTTCGTCTCTTTTTAGACATAATTGTTTCATGAGTTTTTTTTCTAAACGAAAACAATCCTATCAAAATAAATTATTCAT